CAGGAAGGCTTGGATATTTTAAACTTCGTAAATAACATTCTTTTCAAGCGTAGACTTTATTCGAGTGTAATAATACGCAACAACAATTCGTATACAGCATTGGTTTTATTGAAGTTTTTAATGCTTTTCGGCTTCACAGTGAATTATTTCAGCGTCATATTTGAAATAGCGCGCTCGATACAAGATGTCGGACGGGAAAATTCGGGTCTGTAAAAATGTTTGTTGGTTCAGTCAGGCAATGTGTGGACCAAAACATCGCCCACTATTTGAAACATCGCCCATGGGCGGGGTTTAGAATGGGCGGGGTATCAGCCGAATCCGGTACCCCAAAACGTACAGACTAATATTCATGTGAAACGCAGGGTCAAATGCTGTTCAACTTAATAAACGCACCCAAGAGTGATTAGTAACGGCCGATCCTCAAGTTAATTTGGACGATCCTAGTTGATGAAAACACTCTAGTATCGTACACACGATACATTTGTTTATGAATAAATTGGCATAAATTATTGCTCAGCAGAAGTTTTTACTTTTATTTGTTTGTTTATAAGCCCCCCCCCTCCCAACTATGGTACTTACATGGTAGACAGCACCACCACCACTTTTTCTTCTTGCTAATTTTACGTTGTGATGTTGTAGTTTAGGTATATCACATTCATTCCAGGGATTCTGATGTCGTCCTATAACAACACTTGCATCATTTCTCCATAGTAGCAACATGTGCACATCACTAAAATTCCAATTCTCATATGCCCTGCATCAGAAAGAGATAGACATAAAAGTAGTCCCTGTAAGGTTTCATTCATAAGTCACATGACAAATTCTCATCCTAGTGGCGTGTGGAGTTTGTCAAACAAGAGTATTGTTGGAGTATTTCTTTAAAATAATGTGGTATGTGCATTCAATGATGATCAATTTTTATGAATTAAAAGGATCTCATATTCCCCTATGGATCATTTAATTACATGTATACTACTAAATGGGGCTTGGAAGTCAACACCACTAAGACCAATACTATGACATTTCCTAAAATTCAGCATAGATCCATTTTTCACTTATGGTGACATGACACTAAAGCATACCAAGACATTCACATACTAGGGTGTGACACCAATCAGCTATGAATCCCTGAACAAAGCTATGAAGAGACTCTCAGATAAGGCTAAAAAAGCAGAACGACTGATGACTAACATGAGAAACACAATCTGCATTGATTTTTACTGCCTGAGCTTACAAAATGAATTTGTGATTACATTACGGTTTAATAAAGCTTATTATTATGTGTGACATTCATGCAAATTTTTAATGAAATCAGCTAAGCTGATAAGCTGGTGACATGTCAGTGTTGTTTTTTGGTGGGTTGGG